TGTTGTTGTTGTTTAATTTAGTATTAAAAATACTAAACTCTTGATTAGAGTTGCAACCCCAAAAAAAACGGTGTGTTTTTTTTAAAAAAAACACGTTTTTTTTTGCAAAATAACAGACTGGTTCTAAAAACATGTTTTTTATAGTTTTTTTTGCTTTTTTTTAGTATTCATTAAATTTTAGATAATAATAATACTTGAAACAGTTCCAGTGCCCTTAAACCTACAAAATACAAATGTTTTCTATTTAATAAAATGCATATTAACTTATATAATAGCTCTTACAAACTAATCACCAATATTAAAAAAAAACAGTATTAAATATTTAAAAAAGTAATTTTTTAAATAAATCTCAAAAAAACTATTATACTATTAGCTACTAGTTGATTGTAAGTATAATACTACTAAATGAAGGAAATAAAAATGTTATTTTAGCAGTGTTATTTCATTCATAAAAATGAATGAAATAACACTGCATTGCAAAATACAAAAATGAACCAACTGTTAAATAAAATTTACTTTAATTTTTTATTTACTTTTGTATATTACTTTTTTAAATTTTTAATATTTAATTTCTTTATTTTATTTTAAATTGCAATTAGATAGCTAAAATTTTATTTATTCAAACAATATTCAAGTAAATAAAAATAACACAATGATTAACTTTGTCTAATGAAAAAACATTTATATTAAACAATTTGTAATCTATTAATTATTTTTAATTAAAAAAAAAAAAAGAAATCTAAAAAAAAATATGCCAGGCAGAAAGAAATGTTTTGTAGCTACATTGTTCAATGAGGCACCTTTAGAATCTGGAGGTTCTAAAACTCAACAAGTTATATGCAAATTTTGCAGCTTAAAGCTATCAAAAAATGGCACTCGAATGACTGAGCACATTGCAAAATGTATGAAATGTGGCGATCAAATAAAAAACAAATATTTGAACGATATGCCTTTTAAACAGAAGAAAGTTCAAACTGAACTAATGATGGAAGAAGATATTCCTGAAAACTTACCTATTCAAGATATGAAAAAAGAGAAAAAAATATGTTTATCATCTGGTATTTCACAAGTTCCAATTGAGTCTTTCTTTCCAACACCAAGCTGTTTTGGAAACCAAAGTAGGTCTACAACCCCTAAGTTTGGAGACTGTAAGGCAAATTAAACCAAATCAGATAAGCCTCCCTTAAAACGATTGTATTCTTCAACAAGTGTTCCATTCACAACTCAGAAAAATAAAATTGCATCCTACATTTTAGGAGAGTACAAGAGTTTAGAGTCAGAGTTATCAAGCGACTCTGAAGAATACGGATTTGACTTTACAATAGAAGACCTTAATGAACAAGAAAGCCAGAATACAGAATCTGTTATTAATTAAAAATAAATCTTTTAAATGATGTACTATATATTTACCATATATCATGTTATTAATATATATTATATTACATTTATAATAAAAATAAAAATTAAATAAAAGTAAATAATTTTTTTTTTAATCTAAAAAACAAAAAAAACCATAAAAAACACAAAAAACACAAAAAAAACATGTTTTTTTTGCAAAAAAAAACACAATTAAAAAAAAACGTTTTTTTTTGCAACTCTACTCTTGATCATTGTAGATAAAAGCTCAATATTTAAGAAATATAATTTTTTCAAAAATATTAGCTTTATATATATACATATATATATATATATATATATATATATATATATATATATATATATATATATATATATATATATATATATATATATATATATATATATATATATATATATATATATATATATATGCTAAAACATAAATCAAATAAATTTAATTCCAATAAATGTTAAATATAACGTTGTGCTCAACTAAAATACTATTGCGCTATATATGTATGTGTACTAGCGAGTCGCTCATCCAAGATTTATTACTCAATTATATCACATCTTGGGAGTCTCCACATTAACTTACAGTTCAGATTTTTTTTTTTTTTTTTAATTTGAGTTTTTCATGCAAAAATGCAAGTGAATCAAAATCACTTTTTAATCTTTTAAAATGAAGTTATATTTACTTTTTACTGCACAACAGATGTGCGATAGTAGTGGAATAAGTTTTAATTTAGTTTTGAAAATTTAAAAAAAAAATTTGTTTGTGGTTTCAACAGATAAAATGGCAAAAGATATTATAAGAACTTTGAAATGCTCAATAGAATAGTAAAATATAACAAAAAACATTAAAAAAAAAAATTTTCCCCTTTTTTTTTTTTAATTCTAAACTTTTGTATTTATATCTAGTATACATACTAACAGTTGGATAAATAAAATAATAATTAATTTTCAATAAGTAGGCTTAATGATAAGACTAAATTTAATGGTACATTAAATGATAAGACTAATAAGACTAAATTTAAATGATAAGAATAAATTCTTAACAATAAGACTAAATTTGTCTTCTTCTAGCCCCGGTCATGTAATTATTTTTTTTATAAGTTACGACTGTAAATTTTTTTTTATTCGCAAAAGTGTAAATAAATAAAAAAAAAATACATTATTAAAAATTCAAAAAGTTAAATAAAAAATTATTTTTAAAGCATTCTATATTTTTACTTAAGTTTTCTAATTACTGTCATTAAAAAAGTGTGATCAGTGGTTGTGGAGCATTTAATATTGTGAATACTTTTATTAAAATGGCAATGAAACTTTAAAAATTAAAACTTGTAAATTGAAACTTTTTTTTTTTGCTATTTCTTCTAGTATTAACTAATGAAAAAAAAAAGATGAAAGTCTTAAGCTTTGTGTCAAAGACTATTAAACAAAACAAAAAAATATATATAAATTACCACATATCTGTATAGCATCCAATTGGTTCATAGTTCACAATTTCTGGAGCAACAAACTCTGCAGTTCCCATTATTTCTCTCACATCTTTACCTGGAACCAATCTCTGAGCTAATCCAAAATCAACCAACTTGATTTCTGATGAATTTTTAGATTGTAGCACTATGTTTTCAGGCTTAAAAATACATTCTAATTACAAAACCCTCAAACTAATATGGTATTCTTTGTATTAATACTTGTTTATTAAATTTAATTATATTACAACTATGATTTAAAAAATTTATTATTTATAAACTTATAAATTTATAAACATAAAATGACAACCTTAATATCTAAATGAACTATATTGAAACTATGAATGTGTTGAACAGCTTCTAAAACTTGTATCATGTAAGAGCAGGCATCACTTTCTTTCATATATTCACTTTCACATATCTTATCAAACAACTCTCCACCTGTTAACCTTTAAACATATATATATATATATATATATATATATATATATATATATATATATATATATATATATATATATATATTATATTATATAAATATATATATATATATATATATATATTATATATGTTATATATTATATATTATATATATATATATATATTATATTATATAAATATATATATATATATATATATATTATATATGTTATATATTATATATTATATATATATATATATATATATATATATATATATATATATATATATATATATATATATATATATATATATATCAACCCTCGGAATTAGGAAAAATGAGGTCGGCAATAATATGCTGACCTCAAACTTTTAGAGGTCGACACAAGGTCGGAAAAAAAAATTCATACAAAGGTGTTAGGGTAAAACCACCAATTCCTGGCCACTAAATTTTAAACTGCGTCATATATTACCATGAATGGCATAGGTTCATTAAAAAATATTTCTTAAGTCCTAATAAACTTCTAGAGATTTCAATTTATGACAAGTTTTTTGTCAATAAATTAACAAGTTTTAGCACAACTTTAGCAATACTTTAAGACATAAAAAACACTAAATCATGGCCGAAAAATGGCCATTGTGAATTTATTCCTGGCCATTAAGTTTTATAAAGTAAAAGTAGTTGCAATATTCTTAAAAATACAACAAATTTATTGTCTCGATTTTAAAAAATAAGTTCTACATAAATTTTTATTTGTGTATTCAGGAAATAAAGATTAAATGCAAAATGCAAAAAGAATAAGAAAATCCTTTTTTTAACAGCTAAACAAAAATAAATTTTGAAACGCTTTACAAAACTTTAATGTTTTCAAATTAGCAAATGCCTTAAATGAATAAAAACATAAACTTGCTATATTTATGTGATTACTACTAATGTTTTTTGTCATATCATAAAGTAGCAGTTTAAGAAAGAAGTCAGCGTTAGATAAGATTTTTAATATTAAATATGTTGGTTGCAGGCCATTTTTTGAAAATTTTTTAGTAGACGACAAAATCTTTTTTGGGTATGGTATATGGTGAGAAGAGTATATGATGTATCATTAGACTTATTATTAACAAGAGATGTTGAAAGATGATCAATTGTTCCTGTATTTTTTGCAAGAGCAGTTAATGCATCAGGAGATAACATTTTCAAACTTTTCCAACTCATAAAAGTTTTATCGCCCTTAAATCCTTCATCAAAACAAAAAGCAAAACATTGGTGTTATTGTTCTGTTAAAACAGATTCCAGATCATCAATGGCATTAGTTGGTAAAACAAGACTACAACTATTCACTTTTTTTTCTACACAATTGGATTCAATAGCAAAACCTATTTTTACACCACTTACTGCAAAGTTTGTTTGATGTGGTTGCAATATAATTTCAGAAGTTTTTTCATATTTATCCGAAAATGGATTATCAATATGCTTCTTATCTTTCATCAAAACTTATATTTTTTATATATTTAGCTTCAGTTAATTGTGATGGTTAATTGTAAAGGTAGTTCGACAGATAAGCCTTTTAATGGAATTTTATTGAGATTGAATGGAAATATACCACAGACATTAAACCTTGATATGGCTTTTACCCATGCTAATTAAAAAAAAAATTCTTATGTGACACTAAAACACTTGGATACAGATTCATCATATCTTGGCAAGCAACATTATAGTGTTGTTTGAGTGGTCCAAATACACTTCAATCACAAGATTGAAGCCAATGTGATGTATGCTGGAAGTTCAACTATAATGATGCTATTTTTGATAGCTGAATCAATTAGTTCCATAAAATTATGAGAACTATGACCATCCAAAATAAAAATACGAGGTTGCTCAGGTCCTATATTTGCAATACCTTGTTTAGTCCACCCAGAATTAGAAACACTCCAAGTACTTCTTTCAGGAGCTGAAAGAACTTCAAAGCCATTTAAAGCTCTTCTGGTTTTACCTTTCACAATAATGTGAGGAGGTATATGACTGCCTGATGTATTAATTGTAGCAATTATTGTTATTGTTTCATAATTTCCGCTTGTCCAACTTTGTATATATCTTGAACTTGACTTATTAACAACCTTGTCTGGTGTATGCTGCATTTGCAAACAAGTTTCATCCATTAACCACACACAGCGGGGTTTGCAATAAAGACCCACCATAACTTGGGTCATCCATAACTTGCTTCAGCGTGTTAAAATAAATATAAACCTTTTCCTTGTCCATACACTGATGGTTAATGGCAGCTGTAGCCTCAGGAACTCTTAGTTGAAGAATTGAATGTCTTTTTTTCAGTAGAGACCACAATTTTTAGATGGCAGACCATTCTTGAATGGAATACCTCGCTTTTTTGCTATATCCCCAGCATATTTCATAAACTGATGCCTTCCAAAACAAATAACAATAGATGCTCTTTTAGACGCATATTCAACAAGCTTATGCTCATCTAGACTTCCAAGTTTTGTAGAACAACCTGGACGTGCACCTATTTCAGTTTTTCCATTAAGACGATTCTGCAAAGTGCATCAAGAAACCTTGATGCAATACGTTGAGTCATTCTTTTTTCTTTGACTGCGGCAACTGCTTTGACCATTTAGCTTTTTGACCATTTAAAAACTTTTACTCCCTTCCTTGGGTTAAAGTTACAGCTTTTTGTTTTCCTTTTATTATTTTTGCAAATTTTTTTTATTTGAGTAGGATTCATAATTCTACCTAAAAAAATTTACTAATAAAACCAAAAAGAATAAAATATTTGAAAGGAAAACGTTTTCTATAAGTACATTAATTTTATATATCTTAATTTAAAAACAAACAAAAGATATACTTGCTATATTTAACATACAATTGCTATAATATATAACTTTAGCATGAAAATAATAAAATAGAATAATTAATGTAGATAATAAAAATTCGACTCAACTTTATAATTAAAACTTAAATTTTTATTTTAAATAAATTTATATTATAACTAAGACCTTATTCATAGCCAAGAATAAGTTCACACGTGGCCATGATTAAGTCATTATTTATGGGTAACAAAAACAAAAAAAGTGTTAACTTTAAAACTACCAAACGAAGTAATTTTTATTTCAAATCAAAGTAAAATGTTTTTATTACTAGAATAAACCATTGCAGTTGAGCTAAATATTATTACTGTTATTAAACAAGATAAATCAGCGAAACGTTTTTTCGCATTTTTGTTTTCATGGTCGGAATATTTGCCACAAAGTTATAATAATTTTTTGTCTCACGTAGCGTTTATCTTATGCAACAAACTGAGATTCCAAATATAAAAGTTGGATTGTACTTTCATTAAAAAAAAATTTGGAAAATCACTAACTAAATATTTAAGACAATGAAGTTCTTTGAAAAGTGGCCAGGAATTGGTGCTGGCCAGGTATAGGTGGTTTTACCATACCATAAAACATTGAAACGAGGTCGGCAATTATTTGCCGACCTTAGACAATTTAATGTCGGCAGTCAGGTCGGCATTGCCCTTAATTCAGAGGGATATATATATCGTCGCCTCAGAGCAAAAATGTTCTATCTACAAAATTTGCATTTTTCAGGGCAATGAAAACAAACTTAGTTTAGATATCACAAATCAAAATTTTGCTACTTATAATAAAATGATTTTCTCAGAAATTAATAATAATTCAATACTTTATATTTATTTCAAAATATTTCCTTTAAATTAATACGGATAGTATTTTATCTACACGTTCATCTCAATTTTTCAAAACTTGTAGATAGAACATTTTTGCTCTGAGGCGACGATATATATATATATATATATATATATATATATATATATATATATATATAATATATATATATATATATATATATAAATTTATATAAATTTATATATATATATAAATATATATATATATAAATATATATATATATATAAATATATATATATATATATATATATATATATATATATATATATATATATATATATATATATATATATATATATATATATATATATATATATATATATATATATATATATATATATATATATAGCAACTTTGCCTTCCCCCCCCCCCCTTCCCCACAAAAAAAATTTTCGTATTAAGCCAAAACTAAATATTTTAGTTAAAAATTGTAGATGATGATTTTCCTTTATTTTTCACAAGTTTTTCATCAATATTTTTGAATAATAAATAATAAATATTACAATAGAAAATTCCTAAAATTAGTCATAAATTAGGTATTTACTTTTTCATGAAAATTCTAATTTTCAATTTATAAATTAGATTACTAAATTGATTACTATAGTAATCAATTTAGTGATCAATTTAGATTGCTAAATTGATTACTATAGTAATCAATTTAGCAATCAATGATATATAAGTAAAAATACATTAAATTGAAAACCATAATACAAAAGGTGCCCTTACTATACGGAATAACAAACATATGATTAAAAATGTGGTATAAAAACAACACAAATATAGCGTTCATACGGTATAGTTTGCAATGAATATTAGTTTTTTTATTTTAATTATCTGCAGCTGATTTTTTTTTGGATTTATTAAGCGATAATAGATGTTCAAAATATACTATAAATAAAATGTTTTAATATTAGGGTTGCCAGACATTTGGGTTTTACGGAGGAGAATACAGCGTCAAATCTGTAAAAATAATTTTATTTTACTGTGTTCTCCTTTGTAAAAGCCGGACGTCTGGTAAATCGCCAAGTCCGCTAATTAAATTAATGGTGGACCTTGCGTTTTACATAGGGTTGCCAAGCATCTGGCTTTTACGAAGGAAAACACAGTAAAAAAACAACGTTTTTACAAGTTTGTTTCTGTATTCTCCTCCTTAAAAGCCGAACGTCTAAGAACCCTAGTTTTACAAGGATTTTTAATTTACTAAAATATGCATTTTTTTAAGTGTTTTCATCTAGAAAGTCGGGTGGCATTATCAACTCTGGTTGTTGCAGTAACTTTAATGAAACAATTTTGATCGACTTTTTGACCAAATACTCCACTTGGAATAATTCAATATAAGATTTCGAATACTCGATAAAACGCAGATCTGGAAAAATATTTTTTGTATTTGTATAAAAAGATTATGGCTTCTTGAGTCTGTGTTTTATTAAAAATTCAAAACCTTTCTTTGAACACCGTTTTTAAATAACTAATAAGTTAAAGTATTACTTTTTTACTTAAATTGATAAAAGACATAATTTATGATAATTATGTTAAAAATTAATAGACATAAATTATGATAAATTTATTTGTACGACAGTGTACGTTCTATTAAAATCGGTACAAGTATAAATTGCTAGTTTATTTCCCACCGGGTCAATACTGCTCAAATTTAATATTCTTATTCAAATATACATTAAGTATACAAATATACATGTAAGTCACATATATTATAAGATGTAATACATAATTGTATTACATCATATAATATATGTGACTTGCATGTTTTGGAAATATATAATCTTATCGCAATCAAGTTAAGTGTTTGCGTTCAATTTCAGACGCGCACAAAACTTCCGTGCTCAAGCAGTTAGAACATGTTTTTATCTTCACAACAAAATGCTCAACTGATAATTATTTTAAGAAACACTAATTTACTCCAAAAAAATTTATTGTCTTTTCCTATTCATGTAAACCAACCAACTAAGAGGTGGTTCATATTTTACCTTACAATACGATAAATTTTATTGAAAATTATAACTATGTTAATTATGTTACGAGAGATATATTTGTGGTAATTTTTACCTTCAAGATTAAAGTGAAAGCCTGCACCTCAGCATCGAGGCTATAAAACCTATAATATATATATATATATATATATATATATATATATATATATATATATATATATATATATATATATATATATATATATATATATATATATATATATATATATATATATATATATATATATATATATATATATATAATATATATATAATATATATATATATATATATATATATATATATATATATATATATATATATATATATATATATATATATATATATATATATCGTCCAAAAAAGTTTGGAATAGGGAAGAGTCGGGTAGCCCCGGACACTTCAGGAAAATATAGATTGTACACATGTGCTAACATAAAACAAAGTGTCAAAAGACTTTTTTTAAAAACTCAAACATACATCTATCGAATTAGAAACAAAAAAATAATTATGGTGTATCTTGATAATATACAAAACATAAAAAAAAAAGTGTTAGAAAAACGGCATTTTTCAAAATTGGAGGAGCACATAGTTTAAACATGATTTTACCTCTTTTTTACCAGTGTGACACAAATGTAATATTTAATAATTTAACATTGGACTGTTCTCGACACATTTTAAAAAAATCGCCTTTAAAAATTGCCACCGATATATAAGGAATGAGAATGAAAATGCCATCATTGAAAAATATAAACATAGGTTTTTTTATAATGGAAATAAACATTTTAAAAGCACTTTTTTCAAATCTAATGTTTTTTTTATTGAAATTAAATTAGTTACTATTATAGGTTTGCGCATTATCTTATTTATATAAAAAAAGTTGTTTATTATTATTATGTAAACGAATTAAGTTGTCCGGAGCCACCCTCCAATCATGTGTCCGATACCACCCGATCATACCTCATTCACAAATACCAGTTTAAAAACCAGTGAATTAAAGTTTTAAACGAACTTTTTTTTTAATAACTATTGTTAATAAAAATGCACTTTAATCATTAAAAAGTTATTAGTTTACATAAAAATTAGGTATTTTAATATGTGAATCAAATACATACATCGCTCTTTTGGTGGTAGAAAACAAAATCTTGCCCTCCCCCCCCCCCCCAGTTATTCGCTTCGACATATTTTGCATACGCCATATTTTCACTCAAATAATGTTATTATAGTATTAAACGTCACATAGCTTCTTTAGTTTAAGCTGTTCATCAAGTGTCTGGAGTTACCCGCCGTCCGGGGCTACCCGACTTTCCCCTATTAATTAAAATTATTGAAGGTAAATCTATTTATAAAGTTGTAGCTCCGATAAAAAATACAGTCTAGTTGAAATAACTAACGTTATTTCAACTAGACTGTATTATTATTTCAACTAGACTTATTATTCACCAGTATTACAAAGTTGAAATAACTAACGTTATTTCAACTTTGTAATACTGGTGATAAATAACGTTAGTGTAACCAACGTTATTACAACGCTAGATTTAGTTGGTAATGTCGCCCAAAATAACCCAACATAAATTCAACGCTGGATTGACGTTGAATGTTGTTTGTCATGAACAGCATATACATTGTTTGAAATCTAGTTGTAGGCGAAAGGTGTTATGCAATGTTCTAGTAGTACAGAATTGATAAATTTACAAATTGCGAATTTGGCTGAAAAAGTATTATCTTCATAAAGTTCTGCTTTTCTTTAATAGGACTTCAATATTCAGAAATGGCGTCGTATCTCAAAGCTTAATAACGTTGCACTTCGCAGTCACGAGCGATGATAGAATTGTTTTATTTTATTGTTCTCCAAAATACAAATTTATGTAAGTACTTAAATGCATAATAGGTATAATTTACTTCTTATCGATTATTTTTCTGTCTATTTATATCTTTCATAACTCCTGCGTTACACAATAAATAAGTTTTGTATTGAACTTGGCCAAATAAATTTTTTAATCTAAGTTATATTTAACTTTGATTAAAAAATTTATTTGCATTTATATGCATTATATATAATGCATATAAACGCTTAAAAATATGCAATAAATGTAAATGATTGCATTAATCTCAAATAGGTTGTTGAAGTATTTTTTTTTTTTTTTCCTCTTTGAAAATAATAAGCTTAAATTTTTAATTTTTTTAATTTTTTTATACTAAGAAAATAATTTACAAATTATATTTATTATTACACATTGCAACTAAAATTTATTATTACAACTTAACTACTATATGAGTTGTAATAATAAATATTTTTTATGATGTTTAAGATATTATTTTATTTTTATCTACACATTAAATTATTAAAAAAAGATAAAATAATTATTAGAATGGGTTAAGTATACGACCAACGACGCTCAAAATCCTACGCCTGGTTTCGATAGATTTATATTAATATTTAAACTGTTATGCTTATTATTATTTGTTGAATATTTGTTTATATCCAAATTTTAGAATGAAAACTAGAAAAAAAAATTTAAAATTTAACCTTCAACCTTTTTTAGAAAAACAATATCGTCGAACGATATCGTTTAAAACGATAAAGTCTCTCATGTAAACTTAAACTTTTTTCACGAAACTCAAATGAACGCTCTACATCCTTTTGATATTTAAGTAACAAATAACCATAACAAATAACCATAACAAATAACCATAACAAATAACCATAACAAATAACTATAACAAATAACCATAACAAATAACCATACCAAATAATCATAACAAATAACTATAACAAATAACCATTACAAATAACCATAACAAATAACCATAACAAATAACCATAACAAATAACAATAACAAATAACCATTACAAACAACAATAACAAATAACCATAACTCTTTTTCTGCATGACACGAACTTGTTAACATGTTCGTGTAATGCAGAAAAAGTTTCAAGTTCATTTGACTTTCGTGAACAATATTTAAGTTTACATTAGTTTACATTAATTTAAGTTTACATTATTATATAAAAATTTAGCTTCGAACATGTTCAAAGCTAAATTTTTATACATCTTAAAGAACGTCTTTGACGCCATATTTTCTTCATAATATTTCTTCAGAATCTATCTTAATTTCTATCTATAATTTAACATTTCGTTAATTAATAAGCTAACTAAGAGACAGTAAAAAATTAGGTCAAAGTTAACTAGGTTTAATGTCTTAAACTTGTCTATGCCTAAATAAAAAACTTACCGTGTTTTTTGAAGGCTGACTATGAAAATCTTTTCATTGAAACTATATATAAAGGGGGTGTCTACCCCCTCCACCTACAAATTTTATTAGTCGGCAAATTGGACTCTGGAGTCGGCAAAATTGGATTTATAGTTGGCAGTTGGCAAATGCCGGCTAACGAGGACCTTTTTTTATTACTTTTTATAGATAAGTTAGCAGGCAAAAAAAGTTTTTTGCCTTCAGTCGGCAAAAATCAGGTACGTCACCCCCTCTTTCAAATCTTGTCGGAAACAAGAAATGAAAAATATATTAGTTGTTTGCTGTCTGAAAAGTGGTAAAATTAAATTATTTGAAAAATTTATTAACTTAAACTAAAAAGTTAATGAAGAAAACAAAAGTTTAAATTTAACTGGTTATAAATCCTTTATTGTCATTTATTATTTGGTTGTTAAGGTGCTCCGAAAAGATCAACTGTGATGTCAATGAGCACCGCAGAAAAGCATTTAACTTTCACGCCACTTCTCTTGCCAAAAAAACATCAGCAAATGAAACTGACAGTATTTTTATTAATAACTTTGCACCTCCACTATTAAAAAAAATAAAAATTATCACAACACTGACATAATATGTCAGTGTTGTCGATAATTTTTTTTTGCTACATATTATGTAAAAAGCAAATATCAAAAGAGTTTAACAAGTATTGTAAACACTGATCCAAAACTTGATAATAAAATAATAAAACTTTAGAATTATTTAAAACCTACTTTAAAACCCCCAAACAACGTTAACTTATGCAATAATTACTTAATCTAGAAGAACAATACGGTGCTAATAGCAAACTATTAACAGTGTATTATTCTTTTAAGAAAAATAGATTACCAACATGTAATAAAGATTTTATCTAATATAGCAAATCAGTATAAAATTCTTAGAAGTTTTTGTAAATGAAATTTTATCCTCTCTAAATAGAGTATTTTTTTTTTATTATTTTAATCTATTTATTATTTAGGTCTCCAAGAAGTCATTAAGGTCTTATCAGCGATTTCGAAATAATTGCTTTATGTAAATAAAATTTGAGTAATTATCTCAAATTTTTATTCACTCCCTAATGCTGAGCAATTACTCAAATTACTGTTTTTGGAGGAAATTGTTCGGCTTAACGTGAATAAAAAATTGAGAAATTTTGCTCAAATTTCACGTAAAGCTGAAAAATTAATTCAAAAACGTTGAGTAAAAGCAATTGTTTTTTTTATTCACCCAGCCTATTATCTCTACGATTTTAAAAAATTAGTTGAAAAAGTATTCGTATGAAATAGTGTCGTGTAAATTTAAATCCTCTTAAGTAAGCTATATTTAAAGAATCAATTGAAATTTATTAAAAACCAAGGAAAATACATTATAAAACAAGTAGTGACACTGCTGCAAATATCAAGCATTGTTAAGAAGATCTAATAAACAAAGAAGCGTATCTAAAACATAAGACAATTACGTTAACGATTTAGTCGTTTTAAACGCATGAGTGTCAGTAGAATTTTTTGATGTTACAGACACTTTCGGGCAATATGTAAACTCTAAACTTAAGTATGCTCATACTTAAGCCAAACGAGAATGTTTTGCAAAAAATTGAAATGATTAGAGCCTAAGAATAAAAATCCCCCCCCCCCCCCAAAAAAAAAAAAGTTCGCTCCCGCTCCTCCCTAACGTAAGGCAACGAGTCAATAAAATTTTAGCATACTAGTTCTGATTTCATCGATAGATTAGCTCACTAACGAGCATCATAAACGACTTTAAAGTCAGAAGCAGTCGGGTAAGAAACATAGGATGGGCATGCATTTGGTTGTATTTCAAAATAGGTTAATTAAACGAAGCGTTTTAAACATTAAAAACGTATGCATCAAAAAAATTAAGTAGATCAATCAGTCGTTTATTTTTGGTCAATAATTGGTTGCTAAACGTTTTATTCATATTTTGATTATTGATTAAATATTGACCAATTCTGGCGGACTGAGAGAGAATAGTAAATAAAGAATTCTTATTAAAATGCTGGAAACTGGAAACTATTGCGAGCTAATTGATTTATTAGAGCCAATACATGATTTTACTAAAAGTTTTCGGAGAACGTTAATAACTTGAGAAGAATCGCGTTTTTCAACCGGAAACTTGGCAGACCAACAGTCCATTATGCACATTATTATTTTGTCATTTATCTCTATAAAATTTGCGACAATAAGTTGTTTGAAAAGTGCAGCATTCCTTTCGAAACGATAACAACTCTTAGAAAGTTTTACTTATCACAAAGTCTAAGCAAAGTGAGATATATTTATATACAAATAAGTAAAAATTTAAAATAAATATATAGATAAATAAAAATAAGTAAAAATTTAAAAAAATTGAAGCAGATAAATCTGAATAAATAAGAAAAATTTAAATCAAAAATACACATTTTTTTTAACATAAAAGTTATCATTTTATAACGTAGTACCAATTATGAGATGTAACTAAAAGAAGATGTTCTTGCTTATCAAAAGGCATTTTTCTGAATCTGTTAGAGAGTTTCTCGAGTCATCATTTCGTATGTTCAATATTTTTCCCCGAATCTTTTTTTTTTTTAAGGAAGATTTTAGGAAACTTTTTTTTAAGTTTAAAAAGATTTAAAAAGAAAAAGAATTTAAAACGGGAAAAAAAAAAGATATTTAGAAAATATTTTTTTGAAGATATACACTAAAACACACACGCATGCAAACAAACGCACATGCACTCATTTAGTGATTATCTTTGAAACAAAATAGTCTCACAAAAAAAGCTTATCATTAGAAGAAAAAGCTCGTCATCATTAAGTTTGTACTTAAATAACTGATATTTAATCGACAGACGACGAAAATATCAGTTATTTAAGTACAAACATAAAAGTACAGAAAAATGTCTTCCTGCATTAAAAAAAAAAATTTCCCGCCGATTTCCCGTTTTATTAAAGATAGCAAAGTTGTTTTTTGCATAACCGCTTCATCTTTTAGAGGAGTTGTTTTAAGTGCTGCCAAAATCATTAGAGAACAAAAAATAGATTTAAAACAGATTTAGCTGAATAATTTGTCTTGTTATACTTAGACAATATAATGCAGATGCTTTATTTTTTGATTCTACGTTCGGTGTTATTTTTACTTTGTTTATTCAATTTTAGTTTATCTAATTAATGGATAAATTAAAATGAAACAAAGAAATGCACGTTCTTGTTATTAAAACAGCATGTATTATCAGTGCCGCCGATAGGGAGGGGGAGTCGCGAGGGACAGTTTGTCCCGGGCGGCAGATATCCAATGGGCGCCAAATAAAAAGAAACTACTTAAAAAAAAAAAATGCCTTTATATATTATATACGGAAATTTTGACAAATAAGGGAGTCAATCAGAATTGCTGTCCCAGGCGGCGTGACGGCTCTCGGCGGTCCGATTAAATTTCAAAAATGTATAAGTTGGTTTTTGTCAACTTTGAAGAATACATTAATTGATTTAGTCAGCAGTCAACTTTTTTGTTTCTTTTCAGTAAAATTAAAGTACTATAAAATTATATCAAAATTTAAAAACAATTTCTTCTTTGCTTCGATTCTAAACTTTAGGTTTTGATATTGGACTACAAATCCAAACTTTTTTTAGTACAGTACATGATACCATATATAATGTTTTTTAGTTAAAATAATGATTTTTTTTTTATTATCTGTAATGAATTATACTTGAATATAAAAAGATTTTAAAATATAAAAATATTACATTTTATTAAACATCTTAAGAAATGAAACAGATTGCAAACAAATTTTATTATAACCTAATAGTAATTTCTTATCTAACAAATATTTGATAAGAAAGAATAAGCTATATCAATAAGACACCTTTTTAAACATATTTTATTTATTTTTATTGTAAAGCTTTTGTTACGGACCCCGTCGCTATCGCGTTTCAAATAAGACAAAGTCTATACAAGTCGTATAATACAAAAAAGATTTCATATTTTAATAGGTATCATAACTACATTAAAAAGTTATTGCTTGAGTTTAATTATAATAATTATAGTATTTAAACAATAGAGGATATCATTTGGCTTGTGTGAGACAAACTTGATAAAAATAGCCGCGTTATGATACGTCCTGTTTACATTTTTCTTTTTAATAAAATATTATTAATCATAAAATTTATGCCTTCATTTATAAAAACTAAAGTGATAAATAATTTTTAAAACTTTTGAAATTTTTTTTTTATGCATAATTAATTTTTAAGTCCAAGAAAGTATTTAATCCATTAACGCAAACGAGTAAGTTTCCAAATAAATAATGTGTGAAAAAACAATGTTGTGGCAATTTCTCAGTGAATTAATGACCTTGAAGTTATTTTAATCGTTCAAATATGTTGTTGGAATTTAATTTGATACTCAATAGATTGAAAATAAATCTTTAAACTTATTAAACTTTTTGACATCTTTCCATTTTTTTATTGTTTTTTTGTTTTTAATTTTTTTTTTTATTGTTATTAATACTATGCAGATATACCCAAAAACGCATTCCAGAGTCTTTGATGCTAATCACACTCTTTGATGCTAATCTCATATTAAATTTTTCTTTAAGTTGTAGTTAAAGATTACAAAACATGAAAAGTAAAGAAAATTAAAAAAAAATTAAAAAAGAAAAAAACATACAGCTCCAAAACAAGTACCATTTCGGATCCAATATCAAAAATATCGTAAAGCTTAATAATTTTAGCATGGTCAATGGCAAACAGTATATTTGACTCTCGTTCTATAAGCTCTTTACTCATTCCAATTTTACTGGCTTTTGATCGCTTTAGTTTTATGAACTTGGCCGCGACCTCCCGATTGTTTTCCTTTGAAACGCATTTTTTTACGACTGCAAAGTGTCCTCTATAAATAGAAAAAAATTTTGAAAGGTGAATCCTAAATGTATATAAAAATAATAAATACAAAGTGATGAATCCTAAATGTCTATAAACAATAATAAATACATATATAAATACAAAGATAAACAAACCTTCCGAGTTCTTCTTTGACTTCATAGAATTGTTCAAGGTTTTTTTTATAATTCTGTTCCATTTCCTATTTTACAATAAAATAAAAGCAATACAAATATTAAATCATTTTTCTGTATTTAATATGCAGTTATTACAATTCTTTTAAACTTGAAATTTATTTTGTTTTGATGTTTTTAAGCTTTTGGTTTATTATTGAGATTTTTCGAGTTTTTGTTTTACTATAATAAAATGAAATGCTATTTTTATAACAAAGGTAGTTAAAATACTTCTGATCATCGGTTAGAAACATTTATTTAAATACGATATATATATATATATATATATATATATATATATATATATATATATATATATATATATATATATATATATATATATATATATATATATATATATATATATATATATATATATATATATATATATATATATATATATATATATATATATATATATATTTTCTCTTCTTCATACTTTATAAAGTTAAATTAAAAATCAATAATAATAACTATATACAGTAATTGTATATATTTTAATTATAACATCAACTAAAAAATTAAATTGAACAAAATGTAATTATCTTTAACGTTTTTTAAAAGATTTGTTGAAAGCGAAACAAAATATTAACGTGATACTTAAAACACTTCAAATGAATCCAAATTTGTTTTTTAACTCTGCTTCGTATTTTTAAAAGTAGCGTTTACATTATTTAAATGAATACTTAATCAGACCATAGTTGTTTTTGTTTCTAACGGGAATTCAGCTGTTTTAAGTGCATTATAAAACGTTCTTATGATTTTTTTTAAAATACTTAATACAAATATAAACATTTGGTAAAAAATAGTTTTGATTGCGCTAGGGAAATAATGACGCCTAAAAGATTATGTTAGAATATTTCTTAGGAAGTCGAATAACTTTTCGAAGTTCGTTACCTAATATATGTGTTATAACGTAAGAAATTGAAAAAGAAAATTAATCTTTTTTTTATTTTTTAATTTTTTTTTATTTTGCGGTCTTTTCACAGAAAAAATTAAATTGTTATCGAAAAAGTTGCACTCTAAAAATTATAGATAAACATACCACGTTTACAAAATTTACCACATACTTACAAAATTTATTACATGCTTATAAAATTTTACACATACTTACAAAACGTTACCACTTACTTTATAAAATAATTTTATAAAAAAGATATTTAATAAAAAAAAAAGTTCTTTTAATAAGACATAAAAACGAGGTTGGTATACAAAAGAGATAAGTTATAATAGATTTAAAATAGTCTAAGTGTAAATTTTTACGCATATTTATAAAGATGTCCAGAAAAGATTATTAAACGTAAAGGCAAAGGTAAAGCGTAAATTATTACTTCTATATACTTTATGAAAAATAATTTTTATTCTGTTTAACAAGATCAGATATAAATATCGAAAATAAAGTTGAGAATGTATAATATTTTTACAAATAAATACTCGAAACAAAGTTTCGAGTATCTATTTGTAAAAATAAAGTTCTTTATATAAGAAGTGAAAACTAGGATCGTAACAAATAAAAAAAAAAAAAAAAAATAGTAATGAATATTGCTCGCAACTAGATCCAAAGTCACTATTTGGAGCACATCATGAAAAAAAGATTGAACATAGTAAAAATAAAATGTATAGCATATAAAAAAAGATCGCAACGAGGTTAAGGGAGTAAGTATAACTTTAAGTTGACTTTTTAATACTTTTATATCGTTTGAAATGAGTTTTAAAGTTTATTGATCATTTCATATATACTTTTATCAATAATTTTATTTACATTTTGTAATTATTTTTATATTAATTATATTATGCTTTGTTAATGATTTTAAATGATTTAATTCAATTGAAGGTTTGAAAATTCCTTTTTAATTTTGTTAAAGTTGAATAAATTTAAAATAATGTTATCAATAAAAAGTATTTTATGAAAAGATTATTTAATAAATGATAATTAACTCTACACCCACTAAAGTGTAACTCTACACCCACTAAAGTGTAACTCTACACCCACTGAAGTGTAACTCTACACCCACTGAAGTGTAACTCTACACCCAATGAAGTGTAACTCTACACCAACTGAAGTGTAACTCTACACCCACTGAAGCACGCCAATCAACTGACTTAAAAAAGGATAGCCGCAGATAGCATATATTGACTGAGAGTTTTAGATGAAGACATGTGATTACATCCTTCTTATCAAGTTTATGAAATTGTCTATAAATTAATGTAATTTGTTAAATTGTAGTTAATACAATATAAAAACCGTATAAGTTCTAATAAAAAAACATCCCAATTAAAGAAAAATAATTTCAAAATGGTGAGATATGGTCACAATGAAAGATGCTAGACAAATGCTCAGTATTAAAACAAATAATTAAGAAGTACTGGTGGAAATATATCGTATAAACTCCACCACATAATTCATATCTACTCGGTATTATAAAATACTAGGTTAGCATTAGGTTTAGCGAGTTTACAACTCTAACACGTTAACAACTCTATAAGAAGTAATGTTAATGGCTTGCTAATCTAATATGATTATGGTTTAGTTTGTTTCTGTTAACTTTATAATTGACTTTGTTAATATTATTATTTTTGTATGAGAAAGCTGTAAAGGAGAATGAGACCGAGTCAAACAGATTATAAGCGAGCATACTTTTATATTACAATTAACTTTATAGTTTATTGTGTGTTTATGTTATATTAAATTATTGTAAAATTTACGTTTTTAAATAAGTTAAAATTAAATTAAGTTATTACTTTTTTATAATTATAGTTAGACCTATTAAACGGATTGTGACCAATTAAAATTAAATATTGTTAAAAAAAACACATTACCTCATATATATTAGTATACTCTTTTTAAGTAAAAAATAAGTTAAGTTTAAAATTTAAGGTATATAATAATAAATAATCCGCATTAAAAAGCTACCAAAAGGAATGGAACCGAGTCAAACAGAACCTTTAACCTGCATAGTTTATAAGGTATTTAAGTTATATTAATTTGATGCGTAATTCACTTTGTAATAAAGTTTAAATAGTTAAAATTAAATTTTAAATAGCTAAAATTAAAAAAAGTTAAAATTAAATATGTGATTACTATATGAGATTCTGTTTCATGTTTTCTGATCCCTCCAACAAAGGATCAGCAGGATATTCCTTCCAGCGCAGTTATTGACACATTCATTCAGCTTCGAAGGATTTTTTTTTATACGTTAATTGTTTTTAGCATATCAAATGACTGACAAGTATCTCCCTTGGTCTGTTTCAATAAATTTTTGCAATTAAACAAGTGTCTAATCACTTATTTAGTACACGTGCGGCCATACGAGTCTAAGGAAAGAAGCTAGTATATTAGAGTAAATGTTAATGAAAATGTTAAATTATAAAAAAAAAGTATATTTAAAAAAAACGAGTCTATACAGTCTAAATAGAGTCCAATTAGATCCAGTTAAATAGAAAATGAGAAAAAAGATTACACCAGATTGTTTTGAGATAGATGCAGTGAGGTTCACATATACTAGTATAAAATTTTGATTGAGCAAACAATCCATATAGTTACCTAAATTTAGTAATAGATCTCCTCTCATGCTAAAGTTAATGCCGGGTGAAAAATTGCATTATGAGTTTACATGGTTAAATCCAATTCCTCAAATTTTTGAAAACAAGCTACAACAGGCTTAGTAGATTAAAGTTTCAAAGACGTTGAAAATTTTATAAATTGTATAAATCTGAATACATTTTAAATGATGGAGAGCTGGTTAGTGGACCGCTGATTAATAATAAGGTAAAGAAATCTTCTAAGATTAGTCTGCATCTTTTTCCTTATTTTATTTTATTTTAATGTTTAACTATATTTAAAATTAGGCTCACCATGCGTCCTTTTTTTTGTTTTGTTTTCTATTAATTGACTTTATTAGTGTAGGAGCAGCCGTAATTGTATTTTTATTTAAAAGAATTTACAAATTTACGTATGAAATACAAAAAGATTTGTAAAAAAGAGTAAGTGTTGAAGACAACAAATGATGTAGTAGCAACGTTTAGCAGAATTTTCTGAAGCACGTGCCAAAATTAAAGCTCGAATCTCGGCTGTTGTATATTCTTCATCCGTTAAAGGTTTTTTTAAAAACAATTAGCCCAATCAATGTAATTTAGCTATCGCAGTTAATTAAAACCCACTTGTTTTTCATACGGCGGTGTGAATCAAACATCTAACAATAATTCATTAGAAAAAATCAATAATTAATTGAAGACTCCACGGGAAAAAACGGCAAGGTCACATTTTGAAAATTTTAACTTTTTTGATTTTCTTGCTTTATAAACTACAGAACCATCTTTTGTATTTGATTTTGAATCAAATAATTGATTTTATGTATAGTTAAAGTTTGATAGAATTATGCCTCTCTTCTTTAATATACAAATGCTTACCTCCACGAAAAAATAAGTTTTTAAACAATCGAAACTTACTAAAAGACATAAACCAAACACTACTCTGTATTATCAAGACTTAGATCGAAAGCTCCAAGTCCTTTTTTTTTCATAATACTCACAGATGATTTGATTAATGTTTAATACTAAAAATGGCGAAATTTGAACCATTTAGAACAAATAACAAAAAAATCCAAGAAAAGAAAAAACAAAGAAAGATTGTGCGAAAATATAAAAAAACAAAGGCTAGCATCTCATAAAACATGGCTTGAATGTATCTGTAAAAGATTGAAATGCTTCGAAATTGTTAAAAGAGAAGATTGAACTGTTTTATTAAGTTACTTTTACTAAAAAATTAATGATTTAGTTTATTAATTAATAAAAAAACGAATAACGTCGTTATACCGGGGAAAAAACAGCAGGGTCCAAAAAAAAACTTCACTTAAAAAATATAGTCTAAAATGAAAGTTATTGCACGTGAACTGGAAATATAACTTTAATTGCAAAAAAACAAGGTTACTTTTGCAAAATACCTTACAAGTTTACACTTTGTTTTTAAAAATTAAAAGATTACATAGAATTTAAAATTTAATATTTAAACGGCAGGTCACATTTTTCATTTTGAGTTTTCTCAAAATGAAAAATGTGACCTGCC